ATGATTCAATTGAGTCGTACAGGAATGCCTTCCATTATTATGCTCGATACTTCTGGCAAAGATTCCGAAATCATATCTTCAAGTATTTTTCCTCTCGTACTGAGGATTATAGATTTCTTGTTGAACATTCACATGTGTACATGATTAGACAGCTTAACCCCAACAAATACTCTCAAATGGAATGCCTTTGACACCGTCAAAGATCAAGGACCTAACCACTAGACAACTATAATGTCTCAGGTCAACGGACTACTTACATTATTCCAACCAGTAGAGTTACTTGCTTGACATGTGAGTAGACCTCCATGCATGTACTCTCGTTTGATTGTGTTAAGTGGACTCATTCCCTTAACGAGCACCTACATACGTGTCTTAGTGTCCCTATACGAATGGCTTGAGACTTGTCATCCTTCCAATTGAAGCAGACATAGCACGTACTGGTCTATCCGGATTGTCAATGACCTTCTGACACTCTTATGACCAGGATTTTTTTGGACATTATGGTTATGTGAAAAAAGTCTCTGTAGTCTAACATCTTTAGATTACTTATTCCTTCGATCCATTGTCCATTGACTCACTATTTGGACGTATATTGTTCATTGAGATAGTCCTAATAATTGACTTTACCCTTTTTGATGTATTAGACTTAACCATACATTCAGACATTGTCCTGAAAGGTTTCTTCCAAAGATTGATTTTCAAGGCATATCTCTAACACCTTATTCCTTTGCATGTGATTTATGGTCTCTAGGGTTTGCAAATTGACATGTATATTGAACTGGACGTTAGTTAACTATGACCTCTTCAGTAAACCAAGTATAATTAATTATTCTTGCTTTTGGTAAACTAACAATTTTGATCTTCATTAATTGATGACGCTAACTAGTTAGTCAAGCATATATTGAATTTTAATTACAGAATATTCCACCTGGTACCATTTTCAGCATGCTTGAATACTGAGAGGCCACTATTGTCTCGAAAAACAAGTTTGAGAGTGCAAAATTATCATTTTGCCCCTGGGGAAATGTGAGTAAATTGGTCGTTGCACGTTCGATTTACGTCTCATTCGTGCTTACGTGTTCATAAGGTCACGTAGTATCCAGTAAGGCGAGAAAAAGGACAAAGAGTGACAAGGATACAAATGTCCACGTAGTAGATTTCTACTTATCCTACCAAGGGCACTTTTGTAGCTTCTCAGTACCAAAGGATAAAATACATTAAATTAAGGACAAATGTGACAACCTTAGTTGATAATGATCATTCGCCCTTCCCTAGTGGAATGTAAATTATTCAATTATTTGTAAAAAAAAAAGTAAATAAATAACCTATTTATTTGACCCATTTTTCCTGTTTCTTCTAGGGCTGGGTTCAGTTTGAAACAGTTTGGTTTTTTGCCAAAACCGAAATCGAACCGAAATTTCGGTTCGGTTCAATTTTTTTTCGGTTTTTTTCCAGTTCAGTTTCGCCCTGGTTTGGGTTTTTTTTTTTCTTCAACAACAAAAAAAAAATCCTAAGAAAACATTGTTGATTCAGTTTAAAACGTCCCAAATGATTCAATTCAAAATATTGTTGATTCCTAAGAAAAAATTCCTTAAAAAATTCCTAAGTGAATCTTCTAGCTGTAGAAAAGCACAAACAAATCATTGCAACAAGGATCTAGAATTATTGTTGTGAACGAGGAGCCATCACACTTGCATTTCCGAAATGATGCCCAGCAACAACCACTTGAAATCCATGGTTTCCTGAAGCAATGAACAAATGTGAGAGAGATCGAAAAATAAACAAATGTCAATATGGAAAGCCCCAAAATATGAACAATATGAAAAACCCCAACAAAATAATTAAAAGAAAAACCCATTTTAATTCAACAAAACCACAATACAAATCATATTTGTGTTGAATCGAAAATTACCTATGAGAGATTGGAAAATTTGGATTAGAATCTTCCAATTTGGAAGGGGTTCCTGACACACCCCGATCGAGATCAAGGCATGCTGGCCGTCATGTGAGAGTGACGTAGCCATGTGCACAGTGCGGAAGCGATAAAGATAAGAGTTATACGAATAAACAAAAATCGAAAGCTACTAATGTGTACTAATAAACAAGAAGAAATAAGAGTGAGATATAAGTGTAAATACTCCTAATCAGAGCATAGAAAGTTTAGGTGCAGTCCAGTAGGACGAGTACTAATTATACAGTACCATAAGATGTCCTACAATTATTTATATATGTTAGAACCACTAAAATAACATATTAGTCGGAACCTCTGCATAAATCTGTACGGCTGAATTCATAGCTCATTAGTCAATCTAGCCGGAGTCACTACTATGACCTATATGGCACTACACTGCACATAAGTCGGAACCACTAAAAAGGGGCCTGTACGACAAGACTGAAGGGAAAATAATGAGTTTTCATGTGGGATTTCTAGTGACTAGCATGCATATACAATTCAAAATTTATATACGAAAGCAACGGAAGCATGTTATCAAATAATATCAAAGCTATAGTCATGCAAATCCCCTTCAAGATGCATAGGTTTATGTAAGATGCATCAAAAACAATTTATTGAAGAACAAAGTGTAGGAGTAGTTTTATACTCTTTGATCTAGACTTTAGACCAAGGATGGACCACCTCCAAGCCCTTTGTTGTTGGAACTCCTTGAGCCTAGCCTCCCTCCTTGCCTCCTCCACTTTGTTAGAATGAGTGCTCCTTGGTTCTCCTTAAGTCTCCAAAGTTGAAGACCTCTAAAGATCCTCACCCACTAGAGTAGTGAGAAGGATGAAGGAATAACCAAAAGGGTGAGAAGATGATTAGCTAAACCCCCCTTTGGTGGCCGGCCCTTTGAGTGTTGAGAGAGATATTTTCTTTTTCTCTTTTGTTGTTTTAACACTTCAAAAACCCTAATAAAACTTTGTGCTATAAAGTTCCTTTTATAACCAAAAAGAAACAAGTCAACATTTGACTCTCTCTCTCCCTCCTTTGGCCGGCCCCTTTAGTGTTGTTTGGGCTTTGTACTTTTATTATTTCAAGTCATCATATGCTTGAATAAAAGCCCAATGGGTTTAGGCCCAATGGGCCCAATTAGACCCGAACTTTTCTTTAAGCCCAAAACGATCTTTTATCGCTTTTATGATTTCTTTAGACATTCTAATTAATCACAACACTTAATTAATCCAATTAATTATTTCCATCATCCATTAGTTACTCACTACAAGAGTGTATTGGTGAACAATCATTTTTAGGTTCTAATTAGCAAGGCAGTGAGGTGATTGGCACCAATCCAATTGATTATTTTTAATCCAATCACTTAGTGAATTAAAACATACTTTTAATTCTCCTTCTTTTTTGACGACTACATTTAATCATCTAGAAGAACTCACAAGTCATGAGTGACATCTAACCATATATCATGGCTACCCAAGTTAATGTAGAATTTGTTCGGAGAACCTATTCAGTTGGAATTACAATGTAATTCGATCATTCTCTAAAACAATACTCTCAATCACATTACTAGGGTATGGATATGTTATGTCAAACCCCTAATGTGATTATTCCTTCTTATATGATTCATTTGAGTCGTATAGGAACGCTTTCCTTTATTACGCTCGATACTTCGGCCGAAGATTCCTGAATCATATCTTAGAGTATTCATCCTTTCTTAACGAGGATTAGAGATTCCTTGTTGCGCATTCACTTGCCTCCATGACTAAGTGGCTTAACCCCAACTATGCCGTGGACACCCGCGGATGGAGTGACTTTTACATAATCAAAGATCAAGTACCTAACCACAAGACAACTATGATGCCTCAGGTCAAAGGACTACTTACATTATTCCAACCATTAGAGTTACTTGCTTGACATGTGAGTAGACCTCTATGTAAGTACTCTCGTTTGATTGTGTTCAGTGAACTCATTCCCTTAATGAGCACCTACATACCTGTCTTAGTGTCACTACATGAATGGGACGAGACTTTCCATCCTTCCAATTGAAGCGGACATAGTATGTACCAGTCTATGCATTGTCAGTATCCCTCCGACAATCCTATGACCAGGAACCTTTTGGACATGGTGGTTATGTGAAGAAGGTCTCTGTAGTCTAACATCATTAGATTACTTCTTCCATCAATCCATTGTCCATGGATTCACTATTTAGGACATATATCGTGTGTTAAGATAGTCCTAATTAGTATCTATGCCATTTGATGTACAAGAATCATCTATACATCCATTCATTGTCCTGAAAGGTTTCTTCCAAAGATTGACTTTCAGGGCATATTTCCAACAAAAAGACTGGGTGTAATATAATTATGCTCGATACTATTCTCTCATAATAGCTGAGCGATAAATTGCTAGTCACCTACGAGTCAGAACCACCTATGATGGTCTGTACGACAAGATTGTGCACCTAATTTAGATCTAATGTGAGCATATGGTGCAGGAGGTGACATTATAATAACAGACCTATGTCATATCTCTGACTAATCATTAACACCCTAGGTGCAGGTTTATGAGCTCAAAGCTTCTCAATTAATCATCATCTTAATCACATTCACAATTCATAACTCACCTGGGCTTACCTGAGCGTCCACATCACCATAATAATATATATGTATCATATATACTAATTCATATACGAAATATAAATTTAGATGCATGGCATTCAAAGCATACTTTCATTTAAACGCATTTTCTGGGAAAATATCAAGTATATAAATATATACTGAAAACCAAAAGCCCACTCACTGGTATGTCGAAGGGTCGTAGCCCTCGAGTCACCCTTGACTGCGTTCGTCCTCGGGATAAGCCTCCCCTATATGCGAAATAACTATAAAAATGTTATTTAAGGCACATAAACAAAGCTAGCTAATAACTTCTCATACAATGCTCAAATGGGGTGTTTGAATATACCAACGTGATCTACACAACCTCACGAACATCCCCATATTTTTAGAAAAAATTTCTGACCACCCACGCGCCGACCAAGGCACGGCCAGACATGCCGCCCACGCGTGGGCACGTGCCAGGCACACTGACGGTAACAGTGACGCCGTTAAGAATATTTCGTTAAAAGTAACGGAAACCGTTAAAACTAACCAACTCCGTTAGGAATATTCCGTCATCCCTTACCTCAGAACTCCGGCAACCGTTGCCGGCGCCGGAAACTGGGAATTTCTTTAAACCTTGATATCTCACTCGTTTTTCAACCAAAATTCATGAAACCAGTACCAAATTGAAGCTCTTAACTTGTAGAACATTTCCTTACCTGTTTAAATCCCCAAAGATCACGGAATCTCGCCGGAGAAATTTGAGGAAAATCAGCCTAACTTGAAACTGACGATCCCAACGTCCAAATCGCTTGGTTTTTCTTCTCCGAGCTTCGTGAGGGCCTTCTAAAGCTCCATGTGTGAGCTTAAAATCAACTGAAACCTTCACATTTACGTGTGCATGAACAATGCACCAAATCGGAGGTTAGAGTTCTCAGGGTTTTTGAGGTTTTCAGGTCCTAATAATGGTACGAATGGACTCATGAGCTTGTAGGGAACAAGAACTTTACCTTTTTAACGTTGATCCGTGCGTGAATGGTGAACTTGACGTTCATTCGTACAAGGTTGACGGAAATAGGAGAAAATCGAGAGGGAGGAGAGAGAGAGTGCACGGGAAGGGGAGAGAGAGAGAGAGAGTGAAAGTGTGTATGTGTGTTTCCACGTGGGTCACCAACCAACCAAAGAAAATATCATCTAAGTCTCAAAGCATAACACACACACTACAATTTTAACGTCCAAGGATAAAACCGTCATTTTACATCGTCGATAGTAATAATTTAGGACGAGTTGTGACAGTTTCGATTCGAAAGGGGTGAGGGAAAATCATGGTTTGGAAGAAGGAATCCGCAAGGAGGATAGGAAAAGACTGGAGAGAGAGTGATTTGGAGGAAGAGAGGAAGGAGAGAGAGAGAGATTGAGGAAGCAGGGAGGAAGAAAGCAGATGAGGAGACGGAGAGAGTGTTTCAAAATGGGAGTGAAGGCTAGGGTTTGTAAACTTTAGAAATTTTATAAAGCATTGAATATTTAGAATACCTATAGATAACGTACTCGTACAATTATAGGAACACAAAATCCACAGTCAAGTTTGGCTTGAAGCAACTATCCCCAACCTGGACGGAAGGGGTCTGAATTCTCACGCCACGAGGTTTTGAGGATTTATACATGATTTTCATATATCGGTGCAGTTCGGTTTTTGAACCAACCAAATTCGATTCGGTTTTTTTTTTCCAATTTGGTTTTTTCGGTCTTCGTTTGGTTTTCAGCTTGGTTTTTTTCGGTTTTCGTTTTTCAACCCACCCTAGTTTCTTCACATACCTCCGCCCCACGCCCACAATCACCATGCCGGTAACCATTAACCACACTGCCCTCTGAGTGTAATCCCATTTCCCAGTGAATGAATTCCTCCTCTTCCATTGAAGCAGAATCTCCTTTAAAACCCATACAGGTATCTGATTTTGCGTTGTATTAATCTGAACTATGCATGGATTTTTATTGGTCTTTTTTTTCTCTCATTAAGTAATTTCCATGATTCCGAAATGGATGGAGACCAATTGGGTTCTCGATTTTTATTTTCATTTTTTAATGTGTTTACTTGGTGAAAACCAAGTTGCTTTTGTTGCAGTTTGGTAAAAAGTTGTGGAAAAAAAGTGATGATCAATTGATAATGCATGTGAAAACTCGCCTGCTAACTGTTTGATGAAATGGGTGTGAGAGTCTCTATCAGTGCTTGATGAACTGCATATGTTTCTCACTGATTCTTTTCGAAAGCCACTGCAACGAAAGCAAATTGAATTTAGGGTCCTCAATCGTTTCCCTTGTTTAGTTTCTCGATCAGATTTTTATTTTCCTTGTCGGTAGTCAGTAGTAGTGGTTACTGGTTAGAATGGCAATCTATACAAGAATTCGGTAATTAATGGTTTTCTAAATTCATACAACAACAACAACAACAAAGCCTTTTCCCACTAAGTGGGGTCGGCTATATGAATCCTAGAACGCCATTGCGCTCGGTTTTGTGTCATGTCCTCTGTTAGATCCAAGTACTCTAAGTCTTTTCTTAGGGTCTCTTCCAAAGTTTCCCTAGGTCTTCCTCTACCCCTTCAGCCCTGAACCTCTATCCCGTAGTCACATCTTCGAACCGGAGCGTCAGTAGGCCTTCTTTGCACATGTCCAAACCCATTTTGTGTACGTGTTGATGCTTCACCGCCCAACATTCTGTGCCATACAGCATCACCGGCCTTATTACCATCCTATAAAATTTTCCCTTGAGCTTTAGTGGCCTACGACGGTCACACAACATGCCGGATGCACTCTTCCACTTCATCCATCCAGCTTGTATTCTATGGTTGAGATCTCCATCTAATTCTCCGTTCTTTTGCAAGATAGATCCTAGGTAGAAAAAACGGTCGCTCTTTGGTATTTCCTGATCTCCGATCCTCACCCCTAACTCATTTTGGCCTCCATTTGCACTGAACTTGCACTCTATATATTCTGTCTTTGATCGGTTTAGGCAAAGACCTTTAGATTCCAACACTTTTCTCCAAAGGTTAAGCTTCGCATTTACCCCTCCTGAGTTTCATCTATCAACACTGTATCGTTTGCGAAAAGCATACACCAAGGAATATCATCTTAAATATGTCCTGTTAACTCATCCATTACCAACATAAAAAGGTAAGGACTTAAGGATTGTTGATGCACAAAATCAGTGAGGACTTTGGTACAACAGAAAGTATTAAGTTTGTGATCTTCGCTAGATTGCTCTGGTCATTAGTGTGGATAAGTATGTAAATGGATAGAGACAGGAAAGCAAACACAAGATGTACGTGGTTCACCCAGATTGGCTACGTCCACGAAGTAGAGGAGTTCTCATTAATTGTGAAAGGTTTACACAAGTACATAGGTTCAAGCTCTCCTTTAGTGAGTACAAGTGAATGATTTAGTACAAATGACATAGGTTCAAGCTCTCGTCTTCACTTGCCTTATCTGTCTCATAGGTAGATGTGGCATCTTCTCTGGAAGTACTCTTCCTCCATCCAGGGGTGGTATCTTTAACTGGTAGAGATGCACAAGGTAATGTATCAATTTCACTTGAAGCTTACTTGTAGTTTCAGGCTTGGTCAAGCGTGATACAAACCATGTAGTAGGAGTCCCTCAAGTCACCGAGCTAGGGATCTGCTGAAAGAGACGACAGACAAGGTAAGCAATCAAAGCTCCAAGCAATCAGTTCCAGATCAGAAGTTTGATTTCGAGTTTCGGCTGATGTGTTCTCATTCTCCCTATCTTGCAAGCAGCATGAAGGATAAAAAGAAGAAAAGGAGAATAGATGATATGAGATACTTTTTCTTTTGAATAAGTAACTTTCCACAGGCTTATTCTTGAACTGGGCTGGAGGATTTTCTGGTTTCCTCCAGAATATAAGGTCGACTGAAGAATTTGAGGGTCAAAACAAGTCCATCAAATCTAGAGTACGTTCGACCCTGTTGATATGGGATACTTTTGTTGTTGACAAAGTAGTAGTGGATGTATCGGCACGTGTTCTGTTACGCTTGTCTCCACATGCTTCCTTGTATCCTTCTCACTTTCCCTATCTGTTCCTCAGGCAGATGTGGTATCTTCTCTGGAAGCATAAGATGTTGAAGATGAGTACTCGAGGGCAATGCCAGGTAAGTATTCAGGTAAGGGGTTCCAGGCAGTCAGTTCCTGACTAGAAGCTTGATTCCAAGTGCTGACTGATTGCTCTCTTTCTCCTTGTCTTGCAGGTAAGAACAAGGCCAAAGGAAAAGACAGGGAAACAGCATGATATGGGATACTCTTGCTTTTTAACCCTGATGATATGAGATATTCTTGCTCTGGTGTAGCTTGTTTGCAGAGTGATTATCGAGGGGAAAGAAAGCTGAGTATTTTGAGAGGCTTTCGTTGGGAGTGCCCTCTCAGATATGAGGAAGGGTTGAGCATTTTTGCAGGTCTGCCTGTCCGTTGAGGATAGAGGTCGACATATATAGGAGTTTCCCTAACAACAAGTAGTAATGTTATTCATTTACCCTGCTTGGTCATAGCACGGTAGTGGGAGCTGCCAGCTTCACGTGTGTCAGAGCACTTTGAAAAAGTGGTCTGTGGTATCTGGAAAGCTGATGTTGCGTGTGAAGATTACAGACAAGCTTTATCCAAGGAGATCTGACTCTCGAAGTTGAGAAAGCGGTGCCTCTTCAGTTTTTGAACAAGCAATCATGTCGGGGATCTGGCTATCGAGATTCGGAGAACGGTGCCTCTTCGATTTTTTAGAGAGCAATCTTGCTGGGAGTCTGGCTCTCGAGATTCGGAGAGCGGTGTCTCTTCGATTTTTTGAGAAAGTAATCATGTTGGGAGTCTGGCTCTCAAGATTCGGAGGATGGTGCCTTTTCAATTTTGGAGCAAGCAATCTTGTTGGGAGTGTTTTCTCGAATGTGAGTAAAGGTTGGGCATGTTTGCTACTGCTCAGTTTCTCTGTTTAGGTAAAGACTTTGTGTTTGTCATGTGTCGTTCCTTAATCAATGTTCCCTTCGGCTGTTGTTGAGAATAAAAATTCAAGATAAAGTTGAATTCTTTGGTCCTCGGTGAACTAGGTGAAAACTCAAAACAACATAGTATTCATTCCTCCATTCTTAGCCAACCAAATGAAGTGTAATAATTTCAGTGAAATCATAAGCCATGTGTTGTTGCATGTTCAATGGTTGAGATTCCTGAGAACACCGTTTCTTCATGCTCTGTCTCTTGACAGATTGGGAATAATAGTCGTCTCGACTTAAAACGCTACAATTGTAAGTCTATAAAAAATAAGGTCAAGTGTAAGATGGATGACTTTCTTAAATTGTGAATGTTGCTTTGATGGGGAATTTTCTTGTAGAGAATTTGAATGAGTGTCGTTACTGGTTTAGTAAAACAATTTTGATCACATCAATAACTTTGTTGCTGTTTCTGTTTTGCTGTTGTGTAACTTACCCACAGAGCACTCCATGAAAAAGACCATAAAGCGAAAGGCCTTACCCGGATGCAGTTTTTTCTCATTGCCTTGACAGCAAGCTTTCTCTACTATGCACTCCCCGGCTATCTCTTCTCCATCTTGACGTTCTTCTCATGGGTCTGCTGGGCTTGGCCACACAGTATCACAGCTCAGCAGGTCGGATCAGGTTACAATGGACTTGGTGTTGGTGCCTTCACCCTCGATTGGGCTGGGATTTCTGCTTATCATGGCAGCCCCCTCGTCACGCCATGGACTTCCATTCTCAACGTTGGGGTTGGATTTGTCATCTTCATCTACATCATTGTCCCTCTTTGTTATTGGAAGTTTAACACCTTCGATGCTCAAAAGTTCCCTATATTTTCCAACAAGCTGTTCACTTCTACTGGACATAAATACGAAACTACCAAGATCTTAACACCCCAGTTTGATCTTAATATTGATGCCTATAATAGTTACGGCAAGCTTTATCTTAGCCCCCTTTTCGCTTTGTCCATTGGATCGGGATTTGCAAGATTTTCAGCAACCCTAGTTCATGTGGCACTGTTTCACGGAAGGTACTTTCAATTCTTAAATGACATAGCTTCTCTTAGTGTCTACACAACGTTAGCATCTGCACAGCACTTACATAAAAATACATTTGACTAAACTGACAAAGTGATCCTTTATTCCTTTTCATAGAGCTATTTTGAAGCAAAGCAAATCGGCAATGAAGAACGCGAAAATGGATATACATGAGAAATTGATGAAAAATTACAAACAAGTGCCTGAGTGGTGGTTCCTTGTTTTGTTAGCTGTGAGCGTCGTCCTGTCCCTGGTGATGTCTTTTGTATGGAAAGAAACTGTGCAGCTGCCATGGTGGGGTTTGTTGTTTGCCTTTGTCTTGTCTTTCATCGTTACCCTCCCTGTTGGAGTCATTCAAGCTACCACTAACCAAGTAATTTTTCGATTTCTTGAATGTTCCCCACCTTTGTTCTGGCATGTACTAACAAACTGTGAAATATCATTCTAACCTCTCTAACCATTGGTGTGGCTTCTGTGCAGCAACCTGGATTTGATATCATAGCACAATTCATGATTGGGTATATTCTACCAGGAAAACCAATTGCAAACTTGCTTTTCAAAATGTACGGACGAATCAGCACTGTCCACGCTCTTTCTTTTCTGTCTGACCTCAAACTTGGGCACTATATGAAGATTCCACCTCGGTGCATGTACACTGTTCAGGTATTTGATTCAGCACAGAAACCTATGCTTACCATTTCTGTTTTTGTTCCTAAAGGTGATTATTACCAGTTTGACACTTGTGTTATTTTAAACTGACATTTCACGATGTTTGTTCCCAGCTGGTGGGAACTCTAGTTGCCGGTATTGTGAACCTCGCAGTTGCATGGTGGATGCTGGAAAACATCGAGAACATATGCGATGTTGAATCCCGCAATCCAAACAGCCCATGGACTTGTCCTAAATACAGAGTCACCTTCGATGCTTCTGTTATATGGGGTCTAATTGGACCAAGGCGACTGTTTGGACCCGGAGGATTGTATAGGAACTTGATGTGGCTATTCCTTGTTGGAGCTTTGTTGCCGTTTCCAATTTGTTCAATGAGCAAAATCTTCCCAGACAAGAAATGGATTCCCTTGATCAACATGCCAGTCATCACTTATGGCTTTGCGGGGATGCCGCCTGCAACTCCCACCAACATAGCAAGCTGGCTTATCACCGGAGGTATCTTCAACTACTTCGTGTTCAAATACCACAAGCGTTGGTGGCAGAAATACAACTATGTCCTGTCTGCAGCTTTGGATGCCGGGACAGCTTTCATGGGTGTCCTCCTATTCTTCGCCTTGCAGAATCCGAAGCACGAATTGAAATGGTGGGGGACTGAACTCGATCATTGTCCTCTGGCGACATGCCCCATTGCGCCAGGTATTCACGTTGAAGGATGTCCAGTTTTTTAAATAGCCATGAAATGGTGGAACAAAGAGATATTTGAAGAATAAAAGCTAAGGAGGAGGGCTATCGTCGTAGTTATGGAGGAAGGGAAGATGGTGTGCTCTTAGCAAATGGTTGGGAATTGTTCAGGGTTGGGAATTGTTCTAGTTTTTAATGCTTTACAGTATAACCGAAAATGTATCATTCAGATAAAATGTATGGGTGTTCTTGTTTATTATCTTGGAATCAATTTAATATGAATGAATGGGTATAATTTTACGTTTCTCTGCTGGATCCCATTCTTCAATTTTTTTTTTTTTTTTTTTTTGTCCATCTATTTGGAAAGTTTTTTTAGCAGAATCTATTTAGAAGGTTATAAACCTGTGTTTAAAATATGGGACATTATCAATTTCTAGGTTTTGGCATCTTTGTAGCATATCAGGTGGTGCATGTAAGTCTCTCTCCAACTGGATAACAAGAAATGGATGTTAACTTATCCCTTCGACCATGGCAGGTTTGGGAAATGGGGATCAGACAAATCAGAGAAAATGCAGATAGGGCGACAACGGTTGTCAACAAAGTTCATTCTTTCACCTTTTTTTCTTGTACAACAACTGAAGAGAAACAAACAGCCAATAAGTGCAAAAATGCAAAAGCGGATGGATAAATGGTTATTAAGCAATGAAATTATGTGAAAATACAATCTTGAAGTTTCACCTGACAAATCCTTCCAGAACATAAACCGACGCCATGGAAATGACATTTGACTTTGTAATTGATATAACACTAACTACATAATGGGAACCGTGGCGTCCAGACAGACACTTTGTGTGTGTGTTTATCTCTGCGAGGACTTGTAGAGAACTACTGTAACATACTTCGCTATAAACCTCTCTGTTGTCCCGAGTGGCACCACAGATGGTCCACCCTTCCCTTTCTGCATGTAAAGATGATTGAGTACCACATGTTGAGGTCTCGACAAAGGAGGCGGCATCTCCATGTAAGATGAAGGTGCATTCAGCAGTGTCATCTGTAGGTGTGGGGGAACCAATGGGGGCTCTTCGCGAAATCTTGGAACCTTGGACCCTAGCAGATCAACTTTACCAACGAAATAAACATATGTAAAATATATCTATCTGTATTCAAGAAACCAAAGATGTATGTTTATGAGTAGATTTTATATTATATATTTTACCCTAATCTTAGTATATTTTTGTTAATATATTGGAAGAATTTTGATACTTTGAATTGTATTTTCAATATAAGACTTTCGACTTCCTCTGGAGCAAAACAGGATCAAATGGACGAATTTTGGAGTAATTCCAGTTGGAGGACGTTCGTGAGTCACTTAGCTTGATCGTATCAAAATTTGGGATTTTTCCACCAAGCGATTATTTTCTGGCGATAAAATAAAGGAGCGATGCACAGTGCTGAAAAATGACGTTTTTGGGCTTAAATTGCGTTTTTGGAGCACAAGATGACCTCGGATGGGTTCGTGGCCTTCTGGAGAAGTGTTCAGAATATTCCAAACATTAAATCCAGCTATATTGGGCCAGTTTTGGATCAGCTTATGGGTCCAAAACGTGGTTGTTCAGATTTTTGGCGAATTTTACCATTTAATTTATGGTTATGTTTCCTATTTTATTGGAGAATTAATTTTAGTTTCCTAGGGTTTGGTGGGAGGCTTGGCAAAAATATTGCTTAGCCGTCTACAGTTTTGGGAACGTTTTTCTTTTATGCAATTTTGGGAGACAGAAAGAATTGCTAGGGTTTTGGAGATTTTCTACTCTAAGGTGTTTTCAATCATTTTCTTAATAATATTTTCTATGATTTCAATTATGAATATGGGTAACTAATTCCTTGTGCTAGGGTTCCACCATCACCTAGCAATCCTATGAATTTTTACCTATTACTTATGATCTATACATGCTACTTTGAAGGTTAGTTTTTCATGGTCTTTTTATGGCTGGAGTTTCTTGAAACGAAAAAAAAAAAATTTAGAAGGGAGAGAAATGAGTGATCTGACCGTTCTTTTGGCATCCTAAGGAGCTTAATGCAGTGATGCGCGCCACGTGTACACAGCTGGAGTTTTCCCATGTCTGTTCAATTGACTCGGTTTGAAGAGAGGGGAGAGAGCCGTTTGGGCTCTGGGTTCAATGACTGCCATATAGTGAAGACTGTGTTGGCTGACGCCATTTTCAACTTGCATGCCGGCTGCATGCCACTTTCTCATGGGGCATCCAATGTTTAAATTAGCATTTGCTAAGTGGGTCTACTTGGCCACTTGGGTAATTTGTCACGGCTCAACTCACACCATCACCTTCCAAATCAAACGCCAGGTGTTATACCTTCCTTTCTTTACATTTTGTTTTAGTTTCTTTCATTTTCGGTTTTTTTTATAGTCTTGTCCTTTTTTTTTTCAATGTCACAGCTTTTGTGTTGTGTTTTTATCTTTTTATTTTATTTTAGTTTTCTTTTATTTCCCACACCTTGAGGACAAAGTGTGAAATAGGCTTGGGGGTGGGAAAGTAAATCTTAGTTTTTCATGGTCTTTTTATGGCTGGAAAGAAAAAAAAAAATTAAAAATGTCAAACATCCAAAAAGATTTTCTTTTTCTTGAGTCGTTTAGTTAGACCTTCCATAAGTCAATGATAATAATTCGCTTTCTTCTAGGTCAACAAACTTATTTGAATTGGTTCTTCTTTTGTGAAAATTCAATTGTTTTATATGGTTAATCCGATTCTTACATGATCATTCTCAAGTTTATTTTATACCAATAACCAATGTCAGTATGATTATTTCTTACTTAGAAAATTATATGTGGATTTAAAGTGAAAACTTATTGAACCCTTGTGAGATTTTGAGCCTCTTGCATATTCTTTCTTGTGAGTTTCATGATAGCATTATCATTCACTAGAACTTGCTCCAATATCTCTTGAGGCGAAATCCTAAATCATGCAACATTAGAGAGATGATAAAGGCCATGTTTGGATCGTTTGAGCCTTTCTAACCACCTTTTTTATGTTTCATTTTCCCTAGTTACCCTTTTTGAAGCCAAACACTTAGCCTTTTCTTTCATCACCCACATTCATCCCGACACATTTAACCTATTTTAGCCATACCTTATAACTTAAGGGATACCAAGTGGACATCAAGGAAGATAAAGGTTGGGTTCTACAATAAGAAGTGGCGTGTACCGAGGTACCATGTATAGTATTATTTTTATTCTTCAAAAAAAAAAAAAAGAATTAGAAAAGAAGAGTTCGAAATTGTTCCATCCTCATGACATGAGTCCTGGACGCCAATAATAGAAGATTCAAGTTTCAAAAAAGGGCCAACCGAATTACATTATGAAGATATCTTGGTATTTCTTAAGCTTTAGTTTTTCCCTATCCTTTCTTTGATAGCTCAGACCCTAGCCTAATGTTACAACCTTTATAAAGACCTTTGATCTTTGGTGTTGCA